ATAGAGCCTAGAATATTAAAATTTCCTATATCTAGGCATGCCAACATTCCATTTCAAAACTCCTAATTATTCCAACATTCCTCTATCATGGTTATACTTTAAACTAGATATTAACTATATAAATGACCATAATATGTATAAAATAAAGAATGAGAGAAATTGAAAAGATCAATGTATCATTGAAGGCACAAGAGTTTACATTAGTACTTGCTATGCTTTTTATTTCATCAGCCCAAAATTAGAGAATTAACCAGACATGCAATATTCAACCAGAAAACACTTTTTTATTTCATTCATTAAAAGAAGGGATGTAAGAGAAGTAATAAGAAAATAATCCCACGAAAGTATCAAATGATCTTCTCCACACTTCTTCTTCCTCCAACCCAAGAGTTGCTTACACAAATAGGCTAAGATCTTTATAAAGTAAGTTTCTTGCGGTTTCTTAGCCTCCCTTAAGTTTTACTAGAAGGGGCACTAAAAAAACACACTAAAATGTACAATTTGTTTCATAAGTGATGAAATTATCTAAATAACAGAATTGAAGAATTATTTATATTAAGTTTAGGGATGAGTTCGTGTGCCACTATGCTCAATAATGCAACTTTGCAGTAGCATTAAAAAAACTAGCACCACAGCATTGTAATGTTGGCTCAATTGTGGCACTTGTTGACATGGCATGGTTATGATTGAAATTACAAGTATTTTGGCTAAGCGGCGCAACTCCTCATGTTGGAAACTACTATGGTACGACACACTTAAATTTAAGCATTAAAGTGCTTGAATGTGAATTTTGGCGTTGAGGCATTGCAAGGCTCGATGCTCTAACTCTCATTTTTGTGATGCTAAAGTGTTTCTATGCTGAATTTTAGGCACAATGGTATTGTATGGAACTGCAACAGTAACCTTAGTGTCACTGTGGTGCTAGAAAATAGAGAACTTATTGCTTCCATGTTTGAGTCTACCAACAAGTGCTATGAAAGCTTATGCTGTGGTGCTTATGATGATGACACTGAGGTATTATTCAATACTTTTTTTTCCTTTTCTTATACATTTCCTACATAAACAAAACTAAAATAACATTTTTTTTAAAGATAAACACAATTAATAAAGCTTAATTTACACTTAATAAATTTACCCATGCTTGTCCTCAAGTAATGGTAAAAATCACCTATTAATAACTTAATAGCTAAACAAATGGGCATTTTTAAACTACTAAAATATGAGATAATGCATCACCATTTAGAAGTGATTTGGATTGAAGAAAGTTATAATACAAATTTAAAAAGTCATAATAATCATCCCAATCACTCACCCTTACTATTTGTTATATTAAATCTATCTATTATGTATGTAAATGTAAAACTAACTTCTAAATTCATAATTGAATTATATAATATAGGAATTAGTTGTGCTCATAGCTAAATTAAAAGTTAATTAGTGCGCCATTATATGTACTAGTTCACTTATCTTGTCTTTTTTCATTAAATATCAGGATGCATTTGAACTTAAGCTTCAACTAGTACCAATTTTTGAAAGTACTCATCTTTCTCTTTTTCACATATCTTCTAGAAATTTTCATAAATTTTATTCTTTCATACTTTATGGAGTACATAATTAATTATTTTAAATATTAGATTTGTTTTCATCCTCATGCAACTCTAATTAATTTAATGTAAGGATTCAGTAAGATCAACAATAACATTTTTAAGTTTACTATGGTATTCTTAATTTAAGGTACCCACATCTTTTCCTTAAACTTAATTATTCATTTTTTAATTCAGTGGTCAATGCATTAGTTTATTGTTTCTAAATCTAAATCAAGTCAATAGCTTAAGTGGTCTATATTTGTTAATTATTAAGCTTTTCAAATTATGAATTTGTATGCATTAATCAGTCAAACTATTATATAGAGTTTTATTATTATCCCAATTTCATGTTATTTTTAATTATCATTTTTTTTATTTTGGTTAAATAAATAATCAAAATGCAAGTATCTAGAGAGGACAATATACAACAACTTTAGTATAATGGAATTTAATTAAATGTAAATAACATCACACATTGTAGTAGAATAAAAGAAAGTTGATATAAAATAAAGCATGTCTTTTCAAACAATGATATAAAGATCAAGTTAATGAGTACATTAAATCAAAATAAGTAAAAAAAAAAAGATAACTAGTGCTTGAAGCACCACTCCCATGATCAATCTCTATCACAATCGATAATGGTTCTCATGGCCATCATAAGACATCACAATACATTGCCATATTGCAACATCACTAGGATCTCAACTAAGTAAAAGAAATAAAAGACAAATAACTATAAATAGAAGTAGCTACATGCATCACTTTCCCTCTCTCTAAAAAACCTGCTAAGAACATCCAAAAAAAATAAAATTGATTGCCATCAACATCAACTAGGATCAAAGGTCCTCCTCAACATCATCATCATCATATCTAGATGGCAGTTGCAACATGAAAGGAACATAATTGGGAGTAGGAGGGAAGTGCAACTGATTAGGGTGCTTAAAAAATGGACCACTCAAGAATATACCAACCAAAGCATTTTTAAATTCAGAAGTATAATGTTAGTTCTTCTCTCGATTGTCCATTTAATGAGCAACCCTCATTTTCATCTCATCATATCGCTATTTAGAATCTTCATAAAAGTTTAACACTCCCTCCATCAAGCTTCTCAAATCTACCACCTGTACTCCTAATAATTTAGGAGCCCTAAAACTCCTACTTCCACTGCTACTGTCGCACCTACTACATGATCTGGGCTCACTAGAACCTCCCTCATCATTACTTCCTACTGCCTTTTAAAATCAAAATTTTCTTTCTGGTAAGGGCGATTATAGGAAAAAGTTAATGACTTAGTTTGGTCCCACCTCACACAATTATTTACACAAAAGGCATAAATTAGAGAAGGGTTTCTGAAACCCACAGAAGCAATACCCCTCATGATATAAGTCAAAGAAGAGAAGATGAGATTTACTATATCTATTGAGTAACCCACCTGAATAGCATAGCTAAGCAGAGCATGGTCCCTAGTTACTTCAGTAATGTTTCTACTTAGCAAAAAATAAGCATAAAGAAATAAGGCTAAGCCTTAGAAGTTTGGGTGAGAAATGATGCAGGAAAATTGAAAATTTTATTTTCTCTCTTCTTCCAACTCGCTCCACTATTTGGATAACCCAAAATTCTCCAGGTTTCATCAGAATCAATGGGGGTTCCACATAAAGTTGTATACTCATCAAATTCAAAATTTTGAAGCTAATAGAGGTGATTAATAGAAATGGAGTAAGGAGGTACCCACTTACTCCTCGTATAACACTTATTTTATATTAATTCCTTCCCATTGAAAAACAAAACTCTTACCACATTCAGAATGGCAGTATAGGGTTCCTCATAAAATGCCCCCAATACTAAGTTATAATGGTTTGGATGGCTATGATATTTGGGGTTTGAAAGCCCCTTTTAGGGATTAATTTCTTATTAACTACCAGCTCAATAAATATCTGCTTAGCCTTAGCAGACATGAATTTGATCTTATCATAAGAAAATGAAGATCAAGTCTTACCAAACATCTTAGGGGAAATTTCACTCAAGTGAAGACTAAAAATATGGAGATTGAGGATAAAGGAAGTGTGAACACATAGTGAACAACTAAAAATCATGGATTTGAATTTATAAAAAAATTGAGAACTATGAAGCTGAAGATTTTGTCACTGCGGCACTTAAAAACATAAAATGACATACAAGTCAAATTAAAAAAATGTTGCGCTAGTGCAAGCCATATGGCGTTGCAGTACTCACATGGGAAATCAAAGCATTGCCTTTTTGATTGGGCAATCGCTACAACTTTTAACATGTACGAGCACCTTGGATTTACCAAAAATCATTGCCATGTCTCTTTAACTGAATTGATAATGATTTGGACTTAACACTATGGTGCTTATAACAACACCAAGGTGCTTAACAAAGCATTATAATGAAGATTTATGATTGTATGGTTAATTGACTGCACTACCGCAAAATATTATAAAATTAATAAACCTAACACTGCAACACTTGAAAAGGTATCACTGAGGAGCTAAAAAGGGCATAAAAGCACAATAATGTTTAGGAATATATTGTTACGGTAGTGTATCAAGTGAGTTTTCCCAGTAGCTCAGTACTGCAGTGCTAGTTTTGAATGTCATAGTGCTTAACAACTAGATGCTGAATACTTTAAAGCCTAGCTCTGCGACACTCATTAAAGTTTTAGCGCATCAATATTTTTCAGGAATCAACTTATAACTTTGTTAAAATCAAGAATTAATAACATTTATAAATAATAGACCCCCTTCTAAATTTTTTATTGAAGTAGCTTGGCTTTGCAACTGAGCTTCCAATTTAATCACTTCCTCTTCCAAAGGTGTCCTCATATGCCCAAATTGATTATTTTGTTTAAATCCTAGGGGATAAGAAGGTGTAGGATTCACTATAGGTTTCTAAGGATTATTCCAATGTATTATTTGATTGTCTAAAATTCCACTGATTATTATGACCAACTTTATTATTAGACTATTTAAAATTGGGGTGGTTCCACCAAACTAAGTTATATATATAAGGAATGTTTTGCCTTCCAATCAAATTTAGATATTTAATCCCTAGAGCACTATTATCACTAATAGAAATCAAATCTTTCTCTTCCAATTACATAGATGATCCTAAACCTAATCTTGAATTAACTCCAACAGTATGCAATTTCTTTGAAATTGAAGCAGCTTGAGTAGTAAGAATTGAAAAGGCATATGATTCATAAACTCCATGTATTCTTTTAGGATTCACTCTATCAACAGACCATTGAAAATTTTTTGTAGTAATTTCCTCTATTAGTTCATATGCTTCCTCAAACAACTTAGACATTAAAGATGAATGAATTATAATATCAATAACTAATCCTAGAGATCCTACGAATCTATTATAAAAAGTTTAAATAACTAACCAATTGGTAATGTATGGTGAGGGTATTTCCTAGGCATTTCCTTAAATCTCTCCAAATTTTCATACATTAACTCACCCTAAAATTAGGCAAAAGATTTGATATCATTTCTAAGTTTGGTAAAATTTTAAGGTGAGAAGTACTCAACTAGGAATTAATTAGCCAAACTCATTCCAAATGATTATAGAGCCTAGGGGTAAAAAATTCAACCACATATTTGGTTTGTTCCTTATAGAAAATTTGAATAATCTAAGTCTAATAGCATAATTACTAGTACAATTATACTTAAATGTGAAAGTTCGTGAGGGTTGTGAAACCATGAAGTTGCCCGAGGCTAACCAAGAGGGGGGGGGGGGGGATTGGTTATTTTAATTTTTTTTGGGGAAATATAACTTCTTTAAAAACTTTTCAGACCCACACATGATAATCGATACAGCGGATACGAAAAGAGTAAATTTCATAACAATGAAATAAAATAGATTTTTCAACCATACATATAATTACCAAAATTAAAGTGCAAAAAATAATCAGATAGAACACATTTTGAGCACACCAAATTTAAGTGGTTCAGTCAACCTGACTTACGTCCACTTCTTGGAGACTCCCTCTCCAAGTATTGCACTAAATAGTAGTGACTCTCCTTTTGCTCTTACAACAAGGTGGAGAAGCCTGTACAGACAATTTTTTACCTCATCGGTGTGGCAGAGAATTGTGACTCTTTTACAAGTAGAGAACATCAACTCTATTTTCACCCTCCTAATGATGGCCAGAGAACCACAACTATATTTTTACCCTCCTAGTGATGGTCATAGAACCACAACTATATTTTTACCCTCTAGGTGATGTTTAGAGAACCATGATCTTTGCTAAAGAACTTCTTCTCCGGAGCCACAAAGAATCCATGCTGATGCTTATTTATAGTAAACAAGAATCTTGCTTAGAGCAACCTTGTGAATACCCTCACAACTTCTTCGTCATAAAATCTCCCTCTCTTCTATCACAAAGCTCTTTTTCTTTTCTCCCTTAAGGATCTCTCTCCTGAAATCTCAATTGCCAAAGATCTTTTAGTAGGAGTATTATAAAATCTTAAGTAGCAGGCTTCAAGAAACCCTAATTTTTAAGAGATCTTTCTTCTATTCGTACAATATGATACATGTATCGTACAATACGATAAGTGCAATTTAGACTCATCCAGTAAGATCGTTCAGGAAAACTGTTCAACCTTTATAACATTTCGTACAGTATGATCAAAATATCGTATGGTATAAATTATAAAAATTACTTCTATTTATTTGGGATGATCCTTGGGATGGCCAACATCGTATACTATCGATCACCTAAGAGTTTGGATACCATACAATACTATCAGCACAAAAATCATGTATTTGTTTTGGTATTATCTATTGGATGACCATTTTCATATATGGGTAATCGATAGTATGAACTGTATCATATAGTACGGCTGATCACAATAATTATCCATGATTTAATTATCTGATATCAAGAGATTAATTAAGAAAGATTTTAATTATGACATACAGTGCAAGCCAAATCATAATATACGATCAACACATAATTAGTATCTTCATTAACCACCGGCGGCTAGAATTTTGACATAGCACAACAAATTGTACGGTACAAATTAAAATTATATAATATAAAGCAAGTTCATATAGTATGAAACTAAAATCATACAGTACAATGTACTAAAAAAATCTATCTCAAAAAACATTTTTCTTTCTCCCCCCCTGTGTGTGTGTAAGGTTACTCAGCAGAGATATCCACCCAATTATATGATACGACTCAAGAAAGGAAAAACTACATAATAAAATAAAAAAAAATGACTATAACCATAGTCTATTCAGTCTTAGTTGATCAGAATTATAAGTGAACGATGGACTGATTTCTTGAAACGTTAATTCACACAAAAAAAAAAACAAAATATAATAGTAATAGGAGAAAGCAGTAACAGATACAACAATATTTGTTATAATCAAATTCATAGTGCTTGAATCAGGTTTGCAATAATCTCTCACTTTTTTTATGATGACAAAGATTAGTGTTTTAGTTTTTCAAAAAGTTTCTTTCCTCTAAACTACCCCTTAAATGAAAGTTAATTGTAAGAAAAAGGAGTAATTTTTTATTATTTTAAATAATATAAAAATAACAAAAAATAGAAATTAATAAAATACTACTCCCCCTTTTGACATCACAAAAGAGGGAAAATAATAGGAAGAAAAACTGAAAATAGAAATAAAAAATGCATAAAATAAATAGACTCAAAATGACTAACAACTCAAGGTAAAGAAAAAAAACATCACAAACATGAGAACTCTTGTGGGCATTCTCTAAAGTGTAATAAATTTACTTTACAAATAGAAAAGACCAAATAAGATAGGTGTTGACTTTGTTGCAACGATAAGATTTAGATTCTAGAGATTGCACACCTAGCTTAACATCTTCACAGGCTAATATCTTTTGATTAAACAAAAATATAATTTAAGAGTTACAATTAGACAGAGAAACTTAAACTTTTCAAATTGATAGCATGAAGTATATAAAATAGAATATTACTTTAAAAGTGAGGAACGAAGAACCAAAATGTTCCAAAATCAAGTATTAACCATATTATGAAACACATAATTTTTTTTACATTTAAAGATTTACTAGAAAGAAAATCTAATTTAAGTTTGGCTCAATTTGTGCCTCTTTTATCAGCTTTCAACGTACATTGTATATCTTTTATTTTTGAGACACTTAGTGCGTCTTTTACTTTTGGCGCATTGTGCATCTTTTACTTTTCGGTTCATTTTGTAGCTCTTTTGAATTTTTTTTGAATTGCTTCCTTACTAAATCTTTAAGAATCTCAGTTGTAAGTATTATCTTTCAAATAGAAGAGAAGAGTAACTCGCTCTCTTATTAGGGAGGAATAATCTACTTAGAAAATCTAGTATTTCTAATAGGAATAAATAGAATGATTTATGAAATGATTCTCTTTTATCAAATTGCATAATATATTCATGATATAAAAATATAGTAGAATGAAAATATTTTCATTTCAACCATCTCAACACTAATTCGATTTAGATTTCAAGTTCACACAAGGAATTAAAATGTAAAGGAAATAAGAAAGGATATATCGATTCATGAATTTTTTTTCCTTTTAATTTTAAATTTGTCAACAATTTCTTTTCTAATGTTTAAGCAAGAATAGAAGTAATTTTATTACAACCAGAGAGAGCATTACAGTAAGAATTCATTCGAATAGTATGATGTACTTAAGAAAAAACTCCCTCAAAAATCATTTTTCACTCTCCCCCTATGCGTGTGCAAGTTTACTCAGCAAAGATATCCACCTAATACATGATACGACTCAAGAAAGGGAAAAATATAAAATAAAATTAAAAAACAACTGTGACCCTAGTCTACCTAGTATTGAGTTGATCTAAATTTTCAATGAACAATGGGCTAATTTACTGAAAAGTTAGTACACATAAAATAAAACAAAATATCACTAAAACAAGATAAAGTAGTAACATACATAATAATATTTGTTATCATCAAAGTTATAGTGCTTAAATCAGGTTTGTAACCAAATGTTACACAGATTTCTAAGAAGGTTTGGTGTAGGTTAGGAGCTTCAATAGGAGCTCTCCCAAACTAAAAATTTTTAACCATCAAAATTATGGCAGATTTCAGTTCAAGCTTATGATTGTCTTGACTCAGAATTTTCTTCCAAATTTGAGAAAAACTTTTGTTTCTCTGTTATGGCTTTCACTATTTATCACATATTGAGGGAGAGAAACAACAGGCGTTTCTCCAATTCCTGGTTATCCCCTACTGGTGTGACTGGCAACATCAATTTGGTTATTAGGAAGAAAACTTGCAGTTGGAAAAATGTGGAGGTGCTCAAGCTTAAGTTTCAGAATCTTTTCTGATCAGTGTTTTGGCTGACGGGTCCTGTTATCTATTTGATGGAGGAGGAATTTTTATGGGACAATGATGACCGGGGAGCACCATTGGACTGTGCGACGCTGGTTTTTCCCCTTGGATGGCTGTCTGCCTGTTTTTGATCTCTTTTTCATGGTGGTAGCAACCGGGGAAATGGGCCCTCTTTCGATTACTTTTCACAGTCATAGTTTGATGCTAGATGAGTTTTTGGGGTGCTCTCCGTCTGTCTGAGTCCCTGAAGTTTTGTTTTTCTCCTCTCTTTACTATAATTGTTTTTCGGTTGGATCTGGGTCTTTTTTCCTGGTTTCAATCCCATTTTTCTTTTGCAGCTTTTGGTTTCTTATTTGTAACTCAATTTTCTTTAATATATGAGCTTCGGCTCCCAAATTTCCCCAAAAAAAAAAAAGATAATATGTCTTTTGATACTATAATGGATTCCTTCTACTAAAGGGTTAATAGACTCGCAAAGAGGTCTAGAATGATCCTAATCTTACATTGGGTTAGAAATTTCTATTTTTAAAAAAAAAATTTGTAAGCATCCTTTCTATCTCAGAGTGAAACAAAAAGGAATCCTTATTAGGTCTACTAAGCAACAATAAGGATAAATAAATTAAATAAAAATAACTAGCTAATCAATCAACAAAAAACTTTTTTTTAGCTTTTTAAAAATTTTTTTAAACAAAATAAAGATAAAAGATACAAGTAGGTCTAAATATTCACTTATTTCAATAAAATTGTTAAAATTGCAATACACACATTAAATCCTTGGCAATTGTAAATAAAGTTTGATAGGGCGTGGACAAGGATGTAACTTGTTGAGTTGAAATATGCTAAGATTTTCTTTAATATAAAATTAATGAAAGCCCACTAAAATACACAAGTATAATTGCCTAATTAAGTAATAAAGTGATAGAGCATAATATTAATTCAAAGATAAAGAGTTCCACATTATTATAATTAAATTATTACCGTTGACTTGCAATACATAATTTATCCATTTAAAAATAAAAATGTTGTTTTTGAGTTTTTGTCACTAAAAAAAAAAATTGTAAGGAGATTTTGATGCTTATAGAAATAAAGTGTTTTGGACTAATGAATGTAAATAACATAGTTATCCTAATTAGAAGCTTAAAGTTTAGATGTAGATCAGGGCATATGCATCATAAG